ACAACAACGAGCGGAGTGCCGGGTGGCTAAAGCACAGCAGGTTGGCACAGTAGGGGGCACAGGTGGTGCATCAGCCAGTCATCTCAGTCAGTCGACCCATGGCACCTGGGTCTGCCCCGTGACCTCCTGCCAGCGGGCGTTCGACACTTCACGTGGCCTCAAGGTGCACATGGCCTGGCACAAGCGTCGTGGTGATGTCACCGCCACTTAGTGGCGAATGGCGGTTGTTGTTGTAGTGTATGTACGTATGTGTAGTGACATTGCTGGATGTCACCATGCTGTGGGTGCGGTACCGGCCCTAGAGGGGCATGGTGTGCGATGTAGCAACATCACTGGATGTCACCACGTTGTGGGTGTAGTACCGGCCCTATAGGGGCATGGTGGGCATTGAGTAACAGCGCTGGATGGCACCATGCTGTACATGCAGTTCCGGCCGTACAGAACACGGTGTGTGGGTGTTGACCAAAAGGGAAGGTCGTGTGAGGCCATGGCACTCTAGTTTACCTGGGAGGACACGTGACTGGTTAAAATGACAGAGGGGACCCCAAGAGGGGGCTAAGGGGATCACGTCATTGGGACCCAGGTCCTTCCAGATGGTTCTGGAAGGTGGACGTGGCCAAGGGCAGAGCCGGCCATGCCGCAGAGAATATAAGCCGAGTCCCAAGAGGGACCGGGGTTGTTCATCCTGGGAAAATAACCCTTCGTCTACGATCTCCATTTTACGAGTCTTCCAGCACGTGGACCTGGGCAGATGCTGTTGGTCCCGGGTCCGTAGTAACAGTTACGTGGTAACTAGTGTAGTTAGCCAGGTGGTCACCACCCGAGGTTGTTAATCTGTTAAGGGGAAGTTACCCCGTGTGTTGGAACTAAATAAATGCGCTGCCTCCAAAGTCTACGTCTGCGACTCAGTTGAACCCACTATATATGTGTCGGGAGCGGTAGTGTAGCAGTTAGCGTTACGCTGCACTGCAAACCCGGCAACCCCAGTTCGATTCCCCCTCATGCCCAACCCCAGTAACCATTATGTAATCTGCTCCTGGGCCTCCCTGAGGTCGAGTCAGCCTAAAATGAGCACTGTGGCACATTGGGAATAGACCACTCTTTTAATTATTTCCTCGTGCAGCAATGGAGTAAAGTGTGGTTTTGTGAAGGTCTTTAGGGGCTGTGCAGTACATCAATGCACGTGTGTACTCCAGCATGCGATACTGAGTCGGGCCTGTAGGTGGCTGGCAGGGTAATTGAGTAACCTGACCTGTACAGCAGTCACGTGGTTAATGGCGACTCGGTTGAGAATTTCTGTGACACACGTGCTGTTGCATTTTACAGGTCAAGGACCTAAATGTTATTTTTGATAGTTATAGAAATGTTCTAGTTTTTAAGCTTGGCTTTAAATTGGTAGTTTGTAATATATTCAATAGGAGGGGGCTTAGCATTGTACACTGTAAAAGATGACGTACTGTAGTTAATGCTGGTATTTCTCTAACCCTAATGCTGTTTATTCTATAACCATGCCCATGCACCCAGAGTATGACTACTTGCAATGCTATTAAGAATAGAACACATGTACAATGGCGACAAGTACAGTACATATAGTTGAGAAAATGGGTGTAAGATATCAATATAAGTGGATGGGATAGATAGACATACAGCTTAGGGTTAAAGTAATATTCGAATAGTGACGTCTAAAAGTTATGATTAAAGACAAAGATGTTTTATCAGTAGTATAATTGGGTTTAAAGGAAACTGTTATTGAGTAACCTGACCTGGACACCAGTCACATGGTTAATGCCAACTCGGTTCAGAATTTGTGTGTAACACACGTGCTGTTTCATTTGACAGATTATCACAATAAATGTGTTTGCCCTTGATTTGGAGCACCTGCCCACGTCCTTCATTTCGAGTTTGCAACAGTACCTAGTGCGGTGTGTAAACTTTGCCAATAGGCAGACAAAGGTGGCCGGGCGTGGTGCTGGCCACCCACTCCCTCGTGTGCCGTGTCGACCTTCAAAAGTACTTGCTAATTGCACTTGCTCCAAGAGTCTGTTAAGGCTATGAGGGGGATCTTTGTTTTTTTTGGCATCAGGAGCCATAATGTTGCGGTTAGCGCTCCGCTGTGTTTAAAACCTGCCAGGCCGAGTTTCATGCCTGCACACGCCCGCTGTGGCAGTCAGAGAGGGATGGCTTTGGGGGCAGGGTATTTCCTAATCGGTGAGGGGTTCAGATTGACAGGAGTGGGTGGAGCTTGAGTAAGGGGAACGAGGTGACATGGGAGGGACGAGACGGACTAGGAGCGAGGACGCATGGGGCAGCCGTGCGGTGTAGAGAGTAAGAGTTATAACATTTGGTTTGCTGAAGTGAGGGCCACTGGGGCCTGGAATAAGCTAAGTAGTGAGAGAGGAAAATTTCGGGAGCAGAGCAAAGTGTCAGGAGAAAAATAAACAGCGTAGGGATGATGATTGCTTGCGTAACAGTCGAAACGTCGTGAGAATTGTATTGTTTTATTATTTTATTATTTTATTGTTTCCCTTATACGTGACTTTACCGAAAGAACCAATAATATATAGCGTAGGGAGTCAGATATTCAAACCGCGCTCGTGGCCATGGTGTGCCTGGGTGTATTGGTGAGGCGGCGTCATTTTTGGACGAGGCGGCCATCTTAAGAGGACTGTCTGAAGTTGGGGCCGGGAGTGTTGGTGACAACTTGCTGGCCTGTGAGCACGATCGACTGGGGTTCTGCTGTTGACTGCTGGTCTACTCACCAGTGTGTCATCCCAGCAAGCATCTTCTTGGAACCAGGACGGGTGGTGACGGCAGGTCGCTGGCTCATAAGCGCAATCAATTGGGCTACCGGTCTGCCCACCTGTGCGCAGTGTAAGCAAGTGTCGTCTTGGGGACAACATTGTTAGTGACAGCAGATTGCTGGCTTACGAGCACAACCACCTAGGGTCTTACTGCGGACAGCGGTTCTGTTCACCTGTCCATCACCCAGGAGTGGATTGTCACGGAAAACCACCCGCCGCTGCCGTGAAAGTAGCTCTCCCTAATGCTGAAGACTGCTCGGGGCTTCGACAGCTGGGCACATTCGCAGGAAAGAAGAGAGGTGACTATCTGAGGGCTGTGAAGTTGTCATTGGAACGTTTTATTTAACCTGTTCAAGATCTGGGGGAACACTTAATACATACCCTGGATGGTTGCTCCGCAGTTGTTACCCATCGGCATTCGTATTTGAAGAAATCCGTGAAACCGGTATTATCGGGTTATAGGATTGTGTTGTTTGTTGTTGCTGTTATGATGGTGATTTGGGTTGCTTTAATTTGCTGGTGATATTTTCACTCCCCCCGAGGAAGTCGCAAACTTGTCACCATTCAAAATTAACGCCGTTATTTTGCAGTTATAGTGGCAGTGATCCTTGTTATATTCTGCATATGGTCATTGGGTGTGTCGCATGAAACAGGGGTCCCACCATAAACTAAACCACAGCGGTGCGTGTACAGAGAGCTAGGGCTGGCTATGGACCGAAACCCGCAAAAGCTCATGTCGCAAAAGGACGCACGGTTGCGCCAACCACGAGTGACAATTATCCGAACCACCCCTAGGCCTTCTAAGGTCGACTCAGCCTCAACTAAGTACCTGGTGCAGTGTGTGACTTGCCACTGGGGAGACAAAGGGAGGTCAGGCGTGCTGCTGGCCACCCACCCTCTTGTGTGCCATGCCGGCCTTCATTAGGTGCTACTCGCTAACAGCACTTGCCCCAACAGTCTATTAAGGCTATACGGGCGATCTTTGTCATTGTGTGCGCGTGTGAAAGTCGTGTGTGTGTGTATGTTTTCAGAATAGACCCCTTTCGTAAATCGGGGCCTGCCCAAATCCTCACAGAAGTTCCGCGGGTTCCTGCTGGGAGTTAATAAGATAATACGCTGAGATATTTTATTCCTGTAACACTCTGCCCATCTGGTTGGCTGGTTGGTTGTTAACGTCACGCAATGCAACCAGTCAGCGTGTGCGACGAGACTCGTTAACATAATTTTACTTAGCACTATCCCATATGCAGGGTGGCTGCTTGCTGAGCGATACGGCACGTAGTATCCATGACCTGTAAACATGACGCAAACTTCCCATAATAAAATGGAGGTGAGACACCCTCTCCATACAATAATTAATAATCTTACGAACGGGTTCTGTCCCTGAGGCCCGTTCATTAGTCCAAATGATCTTAAGTCGAAACACTAATTGGACGAAAATACCACTTACGACGATACGTGAAATTATAAGACTGCTCTGCTGCTCACAACATCCTAGCGGAGGTTCCGTGGGCGGTCCTGCTGATCGATAACCAGACGCGCATTGTATTGAGCACTTAGGAATAGGGACGATGGGATGACTCCAACGTGGTGCGGTGCGAGGGAAGAAGCAGAACGAGAAGCGCTGCGAGTCGCAGTGCGGGGAGCAAACACGGCACAATCTGACGGGTGGAATTCGCGAGATCGGTGATCGCGGTAGTAGCGAGAGAAGAGGAGGCGAGAGAAGAGTGACTTTGAGTGAATCGCTGAGAGCTGGATCATCAAACAACCCGGCTGCTGCTGCACGTTGAACTCCATCGTGTACAGCGAGGTGCGAGCTGCGTGCTCCACGCCGGATGCGCCTTGCCACGCTCATTCCGCTATGTAACAAAAATTTTGTTCCTGAGTGCTAAGTGTTATTTTTAAATTGCTTATGCCTAAAACGTATAGAAAATTGCTATTATTCCCCACAAACTTTCCTTCTGTGACCAGGACTTTATGTGAACGTAAGACACAAATGCACACCACGTTTCCTCATTGAAAATATGTACATTTCTAAATATCAATGTCCTGGTCACAAAAGCAAAGTTTTTGGGGAATAATAGCCATTTACTGTACTTTTGAGGCATGAGCAATTAGAAAATAACACTTACTACCCAGGAACAATTTTTTCTTTGTTACACAGTGTTCTCATTCTTGCGGCAGTGCACTCAGAGTTCCGCGCGTGACTCTGGGGCCCCGTGTGGCCGCGCCGCGCTCTGCTGCTGGGGAGCGCTCTCGCCTGCAGCAACGAAAGCTCCCCGTTTCGCATGCCATTACTTTCGGCTTTCGGGTGAGGCTGGGATTTCCTCTGAGCGCATCGCGCAGCTCCGCTGCTGGCAGTAGCGCGCGGGCCGTCATCGTGCCACCAGCTGGTGTCACCTGTAGGTGTTGCTGGCACCCGTCCAGCACCACCGGACTTGCCACCCGCCCCATGCGCCACCCACACGCGCATCCAGCAGCCGCCTGCACCACGCGCACTGTCCGTCTCGTACCCATCCATCTCTCGACCCATGAGCTAACGAGCAGGATGATATAATTATGATTATGTAGGACATGGATCAGAAATTATACACCGTGACGACGTAAGTTTACAGAGGGGCACACAGAGACAAAACTCCCAAGGTTATCGAGAGTGTGCTGTTAACAGCACCACACACGGTCGCCTTTGTCCTCCTACTTGTAGTGTTTACACATCTGCGACCATGTCATCCATGGTAGGGAATCGAACCCAGCCCCACCAGCACCCCGTGTACGCTGCCCCGTTGAGTCATGTCAAGTGACGTCAAGAGACCACGCCCCCGCTAGCCGTAGTATAAATACTCCTGGCTGTGGCCCCGCTCACTGAGAGACAGCAGCGTGTTCTTGTTGGGTGCCGTACAGACGCGCGCTTGTGAGGTGCTGGTCAGCAGAGGCAGTAGGGACACGAATCGTGTTTTACTTTTTAGAGCGAACCTCCAGCGCTGCCTGATATGGTCGCACAGCGTGTGATGGAGGTAGTGGTGGTGGCGGCGGTGTTGGTGACCGTCAAAGCTGCATCTGGTAAGATGTTCCAACGCGTCACCATCCAACTACAAAGTCATTCTCGCTGCCGGCTCTCTCTATCCCTGCTCTGATGAAAAAACATTTTCCGAAACGGCAGCCGTAGGTTTGCCACCTGTACGTTACTAGTATGGACCGTACGTGTATTCAGATGTAATGTCCGCCACTCCTCGGCAGTGGTTTGACTCTGAAAGGGCTTTGCGTTATTCGGCGCCGTTGTTCCCAGCGCACGTGTTGCGGGATACGCCTCGGACGTGCGGCGCAGCGGTGGCGTCCGTGCTCAGTGGGGACTCGGCCGACGCTCCCCACAGAGAACTCGGTCCGCTGTGGCCAGTCCCGCCTGTGGTAGTGCGCCTTGGTGTCTCAATCTTTTGTAGTTAATTTTGTATTACTTTAGTATAAATACATGTACATTTTTATTCATATGTTGGTTTTTCTGACTTTACGTGAACGAAAAGACAGATTCGCCCGTTTTCTCTATGAAAATAGGTAAATTTCAAAATATCACTGTCCTGGTCACAAAAGCAAAGTTTGTGGGGAATAATAACCATTTTCTGTACTATATTCTTGGTTCTTTCGGTAAAGTCACGTAGAAGGGAAACAATAAAATAATAAAAATAGAAACAATATATTTTATTATTATGTAAAAATATAAAACAAATATAAAACAAATATAAAACAATATTTTTATTCATATTCTTAGTTTTTTCGGTAACGTCACGTTGAAGGGAAACAACAAAATAATAAAATATATATAAAACAATAAAAAAATTCTCACGACGTTTTGACCATAACTCAAACGGTCGTCTTCAGGTGTGTTGGTTTGCATAAATGTATTTTTAAACGGCGCATTTATTTATTTATAAAAACGTTAGCGCCACGCGCAACGATTTGGCAGTGTATTTAGGACTAGTCCATCTATATTCTCATGAACGTTCATGAGGCTATCCACATATACAAGCACAGAGACAATTTCAACCGAGAAGATGGATTCTATCTTAGCAATCATTGGAACGATTTGATAAACCATTTCAGGTCTTAATTGATTGTTCACGCTTACAGTGGCTTTCAGACAGCATACATTATAACAAATTTCGTCTCCCCCCTCCTCTTTTCAGAATATAGATGGACTAGTCCTAAATAAACTGCCAAATCGTTGCGCGTGGCGCTAACGTTTTTATAAATAAATAAATGCGCCGTTTAAAAATAAATTTATGCAAACCAACACACCTGAAGACGACCGTTTGAGTTATGGTCGAAACGTCGTGAGAATTTTTTGTTTTATATATTTTATTATTTTGTTGTTTCCCTTCAACGTGACTTTACCGAAAGAACCAAGAATATGAATCCCTGCAGTCACGAAAGCTTTAAATAAAAAAATCATTTTTTGGTACTTTTGAGGCATAAGCAATTAGGAATTAACACTTACCACCCATATATATTTTATTATTTTGTTGTTTCCCTTCAACGTGACTTTACCGAAAAAACTAAGAATATGAATTACTGCAGTCACGAAAGCTTTAAATCAAAATTTAATATTTTTATTATTTTATTGTTTCCCTTCTACGTGACTTTACCGAAAGAACCAAGAATAAGAATCCCTGCAGTCACGAAAGCTTTAAATAAAAAAATCATTTTTTGGTACTTTTGAGGCATAAGCAATTAGGAATTAACACTTACCACCCAGGAACAAAAAAATCGTGGAATCGGACACCGGGACACAAACCGCTGGGCGAGACACCACAAGTAATACGACATCGCCAAGGCATAGGAACGTGGAAAGTCCAAACGACGTAGACAAGAGCGCGTGTGTGAGCGCGAGGCTCCGTCGGGCAGCGGGAGCGACCGGTCTTGGGCCGGCGTCCACGGAGCGCGCCTCGCGTCAGTGCAGGGAGCTCCGCGCTGCGCCTCTGCGCTGATCCTCTCCGGCACCGCCGGCAGGCGCGGTGACGTCACAGCTGATGCGAGCGACGCTCGCCCCGGCGGTCTCGTACACGGGCGCAGCAGTGGCGGGCTCAGAGCGGTGGTGCAGCGGTTAGCGCGGACGCGAGTTCGAGTCCCCCCAGTCAGGGTTACCATCGTTGGCAAGTTCCATGAGAACCGGCCCAGTGCTATTCCCCCTGCACCAGCCTGCACTCACCAGCGTGGTGAAGTATGGTCCAACCACCCCCCGCCCCCGCCGCGAACGATCTGGCCGGCGGGGGGCTTCATCCAGTGGTGGGTTGAGAGTGGCTGGAATATTTTATTATGAAATGGTTCCTCGCTCGTGTTTACATATTGTGAATTAAAAATTTACATTTAATGGGTACCCATTCAAGTGTGCGTATTAATATTTATTCTGTACTCGTATGTGAGTACCTATAAATTGAATTAGCTCAGGGCTGAGGGGTGGAGAGGTTTTCATTTTAATGGGACGAACGAGATGGAACAAACGAGAAACGAGGCACAGTGTTCATGAATCCATTGCGAGATCATTGTTTTGTGTGGCGTCGTGGTTAGGGGCCGTCCATAAATGACGTCATGCACCTAGGGGGGAGGGGGGTCAGACATTTGTAACGAGGGGGGGGGGTGAGAAATGTGACGTCACGTCAAAATTCGCAACTTTAAATAAATATAGACAACACGTTCTACTGAATTAAATAGACTTTTTAAATAAATGTTTTCTCCTACAACATCAAAGTGCAGCGCCACTTTAAATACGCACTACAATGACAATAGTTTAAAGCGATTTGAAGTATGTTTTATTTTTGTTGGGGGGGGGGGCAGCGCTTTGTGACGTCATATTTGAGAGGGGGGGTCTGACTTTTTGTGACGCCGTGTGACGATGGGGGGGGGGGGTCAAAAATCGTCCAAAATCGCGTTACGTTATTTATGGACGCCCCTTATCAGTCTAAACAATGGGCAAGTTTCTTAATGAGTGGACAACCGCAAATCGATGGACAGACAACTTCTGTGCGGTGGGATAAAGTGTGGGTAAGCCCATCTCTCCCAAGACGTCTGGCCAAAGTGTAAGAGTAGGCCAAAAGCCCACGAGAGGGAGCGCTGTGAACCTCCGTGGATTGGGGGACCTTCCGCCAGCAGTGGCGAGAGCTGGCGACTGCCGGGCTGCACCTTTACCCTTTACATCGCTCTACTCTACTAACACGGATCGCGCACAACAACAACACAAAGTAGAGAAGAGAACTCGAATGAGCCGTGGTGCAGTACTGAATCCCAGTGGGCGATGGGACGGGTGGGATAGAGAGAGGGGTGGGTGGTGTTGGGCGAGCGATTGCCCGAATCCGTCTGTTCCCCCGGGCGGGGCGAGGGGGTTTTCCCGCCGCGTTCACCCGGCACGCGCCCCTCGTGCAGGCAGCGCGCGCCGTGGTTCCACGGCACGCGTCTCGCGGTCCACCCCCTCCAGCAGCCATCTCCAATAGAGGCACTGCCACAACAACGTAGCCCTGATAGTCAATGAGGTGGGAGTGAGCGGTGGCAGAGTGGTTAGTGCACTATTACGCTGTGAACCTGGCTCCTCGTAGCCACGAGCTCGATCCCTGACCATGAGTTGAATTCCCACCCACGGCTTGCACCAGTGGCACCGACTGAACATCACAACGTGGAGGAGGCCTTCATCCAGCGGAAGCTTGACACAGAGCCGTGGTAGCCATGGGTAGTGAATGCTCATGTAGGGATCTGTCTCAATCGATCCACTGCTGGATGAAGGCCTCCGCCAGCTGAGTCGGTCATGGGTTCTTATCAACCTCCCAGGCTGTGTCAACTCGGCTCGATGTGTTACCGTGAGAGCGATTGGCTTCAGCGCTACCGCTCGATGCGCGTTGTTGCTGCGTGTGCGCCACTGCCAGCGCAGTGCCCCTGTGTGCTGCGCGTCTCACGCAGTCTGTGCCCTTGTCTTGCAGAGCCCTCGGACGAAGAGATTGTGAAGAAGTGCGGCTTTTCTCTCCAGGCGATCCACGGTGAGTGAGTACCGGCCTATTGAGAGCGAGTACCGCCTCTTGTGAGTACTGGCTCCAGTGAGTAGCGCCTCTTGAGAGTGATGGTGCATGCTCCGTGTCACCCAGGGCGTGTGCACAGTGCGTGCGGTGGCAGTGGCGTTGTGTGTGTACACGTCGATTTGTATACAGTGTGGAGCGGTAACATAGTGGTTGACGCATTGTACCACGAACCTGGCTACCCGAGTTCGATTCCCGCTCATGGCCATGAACAGTGGCAAATATTTGAACTGGTCCTGGGCCTCCCCTAGGTCGACTCATCCATACAAATAAGTCCACACACAAACACGGGGGTATTTAATGCATCGTGAAGGCATGATACAGTGTTCAATTAAGAGGACACAATGGAATATTTTTCTGCGTTTACCGTTTGGGCTAATGTGTGTGTACATGTACACATACATACAGACACACAGATACACACAGACACACATACACACAGACACACACATACACAACAAAAACCGCCATTCGCCACTAATGCTTGTGCCAGGCTATGTGCACGTTGATGCCACATGAAGTGTCGAACGCCCGCTAGCAGGAGGTCACGGGACAGACCCAGGTGCCACGGGTCGACTGACTGAGATGACTGGCTGATGCACCACCTGTGCCCCCAACTGTGCAAACTTGCTGTGCTTTAGCCACCCAGCACTCTGCTCGTTGTTGTGAGCGTTGCTCCTCTGCCCTCCGTTGTTGTTGGAGGGCGACTGCCTCCAACTGCCCAGTTGCGTCCTTCATGAGCCTCCTCCACAGAGGCCGATCTTGACACCGCTGGTAACAGTCATCAGCAATTCCACTCAGCTCCACATCCTCCTGTACCACATCACTCCATCTCTTCTCTAGCCCATGCCGTGCCCGTTTAGCCCCCTCTATCCGGCCGAACAAAAGCTGTTTAGGCATGCGGTGGCAGGGCATGTGGGCGACATGACCCAGCCAACGCAGCCTTGCCTGCCGAAGGAGCTCACCGATGGGACTTTGTCCAGATCTTTCAAAGATTTGTGAGCTCCTCACACAATCCAGCCTGGTTAAAACCAGGATGGATCGTAGACAGGCCACCCTAAATGTTTCTAACCGGCGAAGATGTTCCATTAGGGGGGTCCACATACATACACACAGACACACATACACACAGACACACATACAAACACACATGCACAGACATGCCACCACCAACAACCATGCGCTCTACCTCCACAGAACGCACGCGGGCACTGCAGAGCATTCCAGGGCTGTTTCAGAGTGGTTTGCACGCAGAGAAGCCGACCCTTCCCTGCCGATGGTTTCTCTCTTGAGTTCACCACGATGTCCAGGTTTAGAGTTTTCAGATGCCTAATATTTCGCACAAAATCACCATCATCACCATTACCATTAGCAGCTGCCATTGTGTGTGTGTGTGTTGTGACGTGTGTATGTGTATGTCGTGACCCGTTTGTGTGACGTGTGTGTGTGTATGTCGAAACGTGTGTGTGTGCATGTGTCTTTGAACATGCAGCGGTTAATGCGTTACACTATGAACCCAGCGAATCGAGTTCGATTCCCATTCACGGCCACCAACAGTGACGAATATTTGAACCGGTCATGGGCCTCCCCTAGGTAGACTCAGCCTCAAACGAGTACCTGGTACGGTGTGTAAACATCGCCACTATGGAGACAAAGGTGGCCAGGCTTGGTGCTAACTTGCCACAAAAGTCTGCTTTGGCTATAAGGAACATATTTGTTTTTGCACCACGAACCTGGCAGTCCGAATTTGATTCCGATCCATGGCTAAGATGAGTGGCGAGCGATATCCGCACCAGTCTCGGACCTCCCCAATGTCGACTCGGGCTTAAATGAGTACTCGCTGCGGTGTGCGATCAGCGCTGGACAGCAAAGGTGGCCGGGTGGGGAGGTAGCCACCCCACTTTGTGTGCCGTGCCGGCCTTCGTCGGACCTCACGAACGGCACTCTCCCCAACAGCCTGTTAAGGCGACACCGGGGCCCCTTGTTTTTGTACTTATCTGTGTCTTTGTGTGACTGTGTACACAATTGTGTGTACATGGCTGTGTTGCACCTGTGCTGTTGTAATATCATAGCACGCACAGAAGTAGTTTTTGTGGTTTCAAAATATCTAGTTGTCTGCTCAGGAAGTGGATTGGTACTTCTGCTGTAATTCACAGAAGTTGAATCTGAATTTTTATAATTCCGCTTCTGCGGCGTATGTCGTCAATGTGGTGGCTAAACATGCCCTATCGAGTATCCCTCTGATCCCGTCACGTGCCGGCTGCATCGCCCAAATGGTCGTGTGGATTTTTCTCTGGGTCCTCTGGTTTTCCCTCCACATTTATAAACAATGCTTTTAGAGAATTTGCTTGATGTACATTTCCACATGATAAGCCACTTCGTTGAGCTATCATTTGTGGCCAGGTCGCTTCTTAAAAGAGCTATACAGCTCAGTGGGGCCTTGGCTGGTAAAATAAATAAAATAAATGAACGAGTCACGTGGGCAGAGCGCTTTGGCGGGGCGCTGCGAGGCAGGCGGCTCTCATGGAGTGGTGGGGACGCCGAGAGCCTCGCAGTGGCGTCATGCACCTGGCTCAGGCAATGAGCATGCTCATTCGTGTAACACACAAAATATAACACAAATTGTAATCTATGTATCTGGGAAACTGCATTGATTTGTGAAGCAGTCTCGCCGTAAGACGCAGGGACAGGGTGGCAGCGTGGCTGTGCTGAATGGGCAGTCGGGGAGCGGCGAATCTCCTCCCTCTCTCCCTCTGGCGGTTCAGTACATTGACACGAATCAGGGTCGTGATTACATTCAAGCATCGATTCTCTATTTTTAACGCTGTGGTGAATTTTATCGGCCCAATGAGTCGTATGGTCCCATTTCCACATCAGTCTTGTACAAGTTGAGACGAAAAGCAAACCGATCCCTAATCATGTGATTGATGTGCGAACCGCGGGAGCTTGGGGGAATCGATATCAGTTGTTACCCCCCCCCCCCAACGTCCGTTGCTAACCTCTCCATCCTGATGCATCTCTTCTCTGCTTCAGAATGCAAATACACGAAGTGCCTCGCAGCCTCACAAGTTTGCCAGACGAGGACAGAGCAGGAAAGCACCGATTCAGGTGAGGGAGACTCTATGAGTGGTACCAGACCAAGTGCATGCGGCCTGTGTCTCACACGGGAGATGCACGGTGACATGAGGGCGCAAACCGTCCCTCACTCCGCGTGGGCAAAGCGCAGCGATCCCGGCTCCTTCTGCACTCATCGCTGGCCACCTCTCCCCTCTCATCTCACTGTCTCACTACCACATTCTCCACGATCTCTGCTACATCTTCCTCTCTTATCACTCCACTCCCCTCCACACTGTCTCCTACCTTCCCCTCTGATCTCACTCCACTCCCCCTCCATGCTCTCTCGTACCTCTCATCTCAGGCTACCAAGGCTTTCTATCGAAGTCTCTCAGTTAACCTTCGCTCCGTGGGAGGTCCATCAGCTCGCTGCCCTTGAGATCCACGTGTGGCCGATGCCTCAGCTGGAACCCAGGGGGCGAGTTGGCTGTGCAGGCTCCGCGCTTTGATCCCCGAGCCAGCAGCTGTATGAGTTCGCTCCTCGCAGTGGTGATGGGGGGGAGGTAGGCTTGGGAGGGCAGTGACAGCCCCTGGGTTTAAGCCGCGCTGTGCAGCGGCACCAAGTGGCTCGGTTCCATCAAGAGCTCGAAGAGAGTCCACTTATCAGATTGAAACATTTACAAACTTTAATTAAAAGAGGAACAAGTCGACCCTTCTAGGCGTCTGTTATGAAAGTTAACTTCTCTGCTGGGTGAAAGCGTGTCCCTATTTTAGGCACGTGTTTACATGAAATGGAATCACCACTTGTGCAACGTTAGCCAATGCTCGTGGTTTCCAAACGAACTTTGGACACCACGCAGCCATAATAAATCCTACCACCAACAGCTGTGAGCAGGCCACAGGCCCTGGATCGTCTGTTGTACGGAATGTTTCCTCTCTTGCGGTAAAGGGACCACCAGTTTCTTTTTTAGTTCTACGCAACTTTCTGTTTAACATCTTAAACCGCTCGTGTCTGGTCACGACGTGAATTTAAAATGTAGGTTTCCGGAATACTTGTTATCCCATATTTGTGTGTGGGTGAAGTCACATTTGGAAGTTTTTATGCCAAAATTCTTGTCATTAACCCTCCACCACCCGACGTGATTATCACCTTTACAAGTATCATATTTGAACGTGGCCAATATATGGATCACATTCTCCTCGCTCGTTCCCTATGCTACAGAGTGCCAGATGCGACTCTGTATGGAAGCCAAGACGGAGTGCGAGGCGCCACTCAACAAGGACCTTTCTGGTGCTGAAGGTGAGAGACGGTCGGTTCTGCATCGAAACGTCGACCTCTGGTTTTCAAGCCCAGGGGACTCAGCTATTGAACAACAGCAGCAGCAGCTGATACACATGGTCCATTATAATTGAATTGAATCGTGCCCCTGCATTGGAAAAATTCAAGGATTTGCTTGGGGAGGGGGTGGGGGTTGGAATTGAATCTAAAACTAAAGCCGCCCACGACACTGGTTGCCATGTTGTGATTACTCACGCCCGCAGTTAGAGAGAGGTGATGCATCGGAGAGGCCCTCACGTGGCCATGTGATGGACACAGTCCCTCGTGTTAAAGTGCTCGTGAACTGTGCCCCAGGACTCACCCTGTCAGCACCTCGCCTGGGCCACTGTCTGTGTGTCGTGTGCTGCGTTTGTAGCGCTGTGCAGAGTGCACTCTCAGCTCTTTCGGCAGATGCTGGGAGAAAACGAGCTAAACCCCGTTTGGAAATGACGCTATGAATAGGTAAAGAATTCTAGAGTGACACATTAAGCTAAAATGCATGATCAGTAGGAATTTGTTGGGCAGAATTGAATGTGTTTGCACAGTAGCAGTGTGTGTTCCCTGCTATGACTAACGGATCAGAAACCTGAACAATGACAAGAAATTGAACACAATTCTGAAAAGTGTGAAACAGAAGTGCATTGCAAGATGCGTACTCACCATTACATAGAGAGACAAGAAGAGCAACACGTGGATTGGAGAATGCACGCGAGTTAGAGAATACACGCGAGTTAGAGGGACCATCGGCGTGCTGTGCACTGCCTGTTTCGAGTGTGCATGCACTGTGTCACCCCAGCGGTGGTAACACGGTCGGCACTCCCCGGCCCCCTCTGTGCTGCTCTCAGTGTGCGAGGGGGACGGCTTCGACCGCACCGACCTGGACTGCCTCCTTCTGCACAGGAGGTCGATGGCGGAGCTGACCGGTGAGCTGGGACCTCGGCAGCATCGGCACAGCGAGCACACACACCTGCACGTGTACACACACCTGTCCATGTACACACACTCAATCACACCTGTCCATGTACACACACTCACTCACACCTGTCCATGTACACACACTCACCCACACCTGTATACCTGCACACCAGCCCATTCCACATACCTGCACATACACACCTACCCAGGTACACACACACCTGTCCAGATCCACACACACTTCCTCGTGTCTACCTGTCCACCAATACATCTGTCCACGCTCCCCTGCCCACATGTTAACCCACACACATGCCTAGCTGTCATGGACGCATACCTGCACAGCACAGACATGGAGACCCCACACGTATTAAGTACTTCAATGCATTAATGCACAAACATTCTCACATAGCACTGGTCTGTGAGGCTTGTGGGCATGTGCTTGTGTGTATGCACGGGGGGGAGTGGTTGCGGAGTGGTTAGCACGCTGCGCTATGATCTTGTGCGACCTGGGTTCAATTCGCGCTCACGGTCAACAGCAGTGACGATTATCTTAACCCTTTCCTGAGCCTCCCTTAGTTCGACTCAGCCTCAAATGAGTACCTGATATGGTGTGTAAACATCGGCACTAGGGAGTCAAAAGCGGCCAGCAGTGGTGCTGGCCACTCACCCTCTCGGGTGCCGTGCCGGTTTTCATAGGTGCTCGCTAACAGCACTTGCTCCTACAGTCTGTTAAAGCTATACGGGGGATCTTTGTTTTTGTATGAATGTGAGGGAGTGGTGGCGTAGTGGCTTGCGCACTCCACTATCAACCCAGTGACATGGGGTCAACTCCTGAGCAGGGCTAATATCAGTGACAAGTCGTGTCTGCACTTGTCCTGGACCTCCTCCAGGTCCACTCAGCCTTACAATGGGTACCTATTGCAGTGTGTAAAACATGAGCACTGCGGAGACAAAGATGGCCACGCACAGTGCTGGCCACACCCCCTCGGGGCGCCGTGCCCTTCTCAATAGCTGCTCAGTGACAACAGCTGTCCCAACAGTCTCTGAGTGAACGCCGCGATCTTTGCGGGTGTGCGCGTGTGCGAGCAGATTGCAAGGCTCAGGGCTACTTGAAGGTCAAGCGCGAGTGTTTCAACAGGGTGTGGTCGAACATCGTCCGCACTCAGGGTGAGTAAAGCGGTGCTGCTGGCGTCTCACCACGCCCGCTCCCGTGGGCTGGGGCTGGCCCAGTGCGCTCCGTGTGCTGGCTGCCCGTGAGCGGCGCCCAGCGGCACCGCTCAGGGCCAACCCGGCGTGATCCTTACTCCCTCGCAGGGGAGACACCACTGCAATCCATAGCCACAGGCACAGCGCGTAGTCATAGCCATAGCGGTGATCGGCGCACCACCGCGATGTGAACTCTGCAGCCTGAGGTCCATTCAAAAGCCACGGCGAACGTCGGCGGCGAGTGGCATCTCAACCAGTCCTGGCACCTTCACGAACCTACAATGACCAGCTTGGTGAAGTATGGTCAAACAACACCCATGACCGATACGGCATGGGGAGGCCTTTGTCCACAAATTGACTGTAAATTGTTTTGCATTCACTTCAGCTCACCCTTAATTACAGAGCCTTCCACTGTCAATGTCACCAAATGGTGCCCAGTAATGCCTGAATTGTGTCTCCCATAAAATCAAATTGATAACTCGCATAGCTACGTAGGGTCATCATTAGTACAGTCTTGAAGTTAATTTAGTTAATTTATTGAATAAGAAGAGTCGATACAATATGGTAGTTGATGAAATGTGTTTCTTGGCCATTGTGAGATTTTTAAAAAAGTGCCACTCCATCTGCTGCTGTGAAATGTAAAACACCACACGGGTTACATTCCTGTGAACACGACGTGTATGCTGCATGGGCTATGGCGACACTTGCAAGGAACTGAGGGGATTTTGAACAATTCCCATATGGCCTGGAGCACCGCTCTCAATGCAGTTCAGGCAAATTGTCAGGCACCGTGCAGTAGAGCGGCACGCACTCCCGGTGTGTGTTCCACTGCCCAAGGAGACGCTCGTGTACCGTACTGCATCGCGTTGTGATATCCTGAGCTGTGTGGTGTCAGTGTGAGGAGGGGAGCCCCACCAGAAGTGAAAATAGGGTCACAGCGGGGTATGGGTGAGACCGGGGGTGCCTGGTTGTCTGGATGAGTGGTGGTGCATTGGTTAGCGCACCGTGCTCTGAACCTGGTGACCTGAGCTTGATGCTTCACCACGGTAGCAATCAGTGGGGAGTAATCTCTGAACCAGTCCTGGGCCTCCGTTGTGCAATGTGTAAACATCAGCACTGGGTAGCCACACGACCCACTCATGTGACACGTCAGCCTTCATAGATGCTCACTAACCCACTTGCCCCATGAGTCTGGTGGCGGCTGTACTAGCAGTACGTGTCTTGTGTTTCTCCACTCCTCCCAATGCAGCTGAAGCCCTGCTGAAGCGGCCGCACGTCTCCGACGACCTTGTGGGTGGGTATCTCTCCTCCAATCCCACCACGGCTGACCAACCCTCACCCACCCATCCACACCTCCTCTGTCGTGTCTCCAGCGTGACCCATCTGTTGGTGTTCCCATGCCATCTCAACTGCCCAGGCCCGACTTCCACCCTCATAAAAAAACCCTTTAGAGTTTAGAGGCAACTGGCTCTTGCTACAACTTGGTAAAGACCACCACTGGCCAACTCGATTGTCTTTTACAGGAGCCAAGAGCACAGTTGGGCTCTTTATTGAACCTGAACAAACTTACTACCATCCCCAAATCCATCAAAGCACTTCCCAAACTTCACCTGACCACTAACAACCCCCGTGCTTCAGAGTCACGGACAATTATGTCTGTGAAATAGTGTACACGTATATTGCATTATTGTTTAAAAATTAGCTAACATCCCAATGCAGGACCATCCTAAAGAGTAAGCATCAGACTGAGCGAGGTTTACCTGGGTTGAATAATTGTCACTTTTATTTGAGAGCGCGCTGTCAATGCTGTGAGTGCCTCTGTGCGTGAGCGTTTTTCAGTCGCGTCTCTGTGCGTCCTCTGTGCAGAATGCGCGCTCAGCAGCTGCTTCAACAACACGGAATGCTTCCACAACTACCACCACGAGCTCGCTCAGAACCCCGGTGAGCAATTAGGTTCCTTCCTTCCCCCTGCTACCCCTCCACCCACCCATGCCTACACAGCTCCCACTCCCCCCCACTCCCCCGTGACCCGAGGCTGGGCCGTGTTGCGAGCGCCCTGGTGGCTGAGAGCACGATTCCCGTGTAGGGCAGGGAGACTGATGAGGGCTGTAGGTACACCGCGTCTATCCATCGATTCATTCCGACTCTTAATGCTCACGATACATTCATCGACATGCTTGCATAAGAATTTATGTTTTTATATTTATATAACTGTGTGTGGATATCTCTCACTGGGTGCCCTGTGTGTGTAGATTTCTCTCACTGGGTGCTCTGTTTGTGTATGTGGATATCTCTCACTGGGTGCCCTGTGTGTGTGTGGATATTTCTCACTGGGTGCCCTGTGTGTGTGTGGATATATCTCACTGGGTGCCCTGTGTGTGTGTGTGCCTCGTGTGTAGCGTCTCACCAGGTGTTCAACCTCACGCTGTGCGCATTCGTCTCCACCGACTACCCACTTGGTGAGTCCCGCAATGTGAGCCCTTCGCGGGACACACAGACAACACTCAAGTATTTGTTTTAGAAACCTAAGCCACGTTCCTAAGCACAGCACCCGGGCCAGGGTGAAAACCTGGGGGTGAGTGGCTGAGCGGTGGCCGTGCCTCACCGCGTGCTCGTGCTGTCTCCTTCTTGGTGTTGTTGTCCATCGGTGCAGAGTGCGACCACCGCAACTGTACCCTGGACATCGCCGCCTGCAAGCACCTGGACACGGCGAGCATGCCGGGTACGTGCGCGCACACGCACACGTGACCTGAAGCGCACGCAAGCACGAGTACACACAACACGCGCCGTCAATGCTCATGATTCGTCGAACAGGATCGATCCCTGTGCTCTTCGCACAAACGTAGAAGCGTTCGCGTGGGAATCGTTGAAGTGTCATATAGCCAAATTATGTGCGTATAGAGGTGGAGTGGCGGTGCAGTGGTTAGCGCACTGCACGACGTAACCCGGCAAGTTCGATTTCCAGCCACGGCTAACATCAGTGGCGAGCGGCATCTGACCCGGCACTGGGTGTCCCGTCAATTCAACCAGCAGTGGCCAGCGCGGTGAAGTATGGCTAAACAACCCCCGTTACCGACGGCGCAGGGATCATTTCATCCAACAGTGGACGGACAAAGCGCTGTTCACTGCCATGGTCGATGTGACACTCCTCGCTTGCATGGAACGGTTTCCTCTGCAGTGGAGCGGGCAGGGCGAGTGTCGCTGCACGGCGCTGAGCGGGGACCGCGCGTGGGGCGGGGCTCACGCCGGGCCATCCCCTTTTAAAACGACTCTGGCCGCTACAGTTGTGCGCTCGTGTGAATGTGTGTGTGTTGACACTCGTGTTTGTATTTGTGTCTCTACCAGCTGGAGCTGTGGTTGCAGTGGTGCTGGTCGTTCTGGTGGTTCCGGTGGTACTGGTTCTGGTCATCCTCTACTTGCGAAGACGTGAGAACCAGCGCTTCAGATGTATTACACAAAAAACAAAGATTCCCCGTATAGCCTTAACATACTGTTGGAGCAAGTGCTGTTAGCGAACACCTATGAAGGCTGGGACGGCACACGAAGGGTGGTTGGGTGGCCAGCACCACACCGTTGTCTCCATAGTAGTGATGTTTACACACCGCACCAGGTACTACTTTGAGGCTGAGTCGACCTCGGGGAGCCCCAGAACCGGTTCAGATCATCACTGGTGTTGGCCGTGAGCAGGAATCGAACTTGAGTCACCTGGTTTGTAGCGCAGATGTTGCACTACCGCTCTGTGTCTTTGTCACAAAGACACACACACACTCACACACACGTGCATGTGCACACACGAACAGGACAGGCTGTACTGCTCTGTGTGCCACATCTGCCAGCTTATGTGCATGTTATTTGTAGCGCACTGCATTTGCAATCCAGAAGTCGCCAGCAGTTGAAACAATGCTACAAGTTTCTTAACCCCCCCCCCACCTCTGTCCACCGAGCAGTGTCAATGGGTACGCCACAGTCAATCGGCAGGTCGCGGTGTGATGGGGTAAAGTGTGTGTACTCCCACACCTTACAAGAAGCATCAACAGCTTTTGTTCGGCTAGATAGAGGGGGCTAAACGGGTGTAACACGGGCTAGCGCCCTGTTAACTATTGTTTAAGGGCGCTTTATACATTTTAATAATTATTATTAGAGAAGCAATGGAATGATGTGGCACGAAAGGAAAGGGAGCTGAGTGGACTTGTCAATGATTGGTACCAGCGGTATCAAGATCGGCCTCTATGGAGGAGGATCGTGAAGGACGTTACTGGGCAGTTGGATGTAGTCACCCTCTAGCAACAATAAAAGGCAGAGGAGCAATGCTCACAACAATGAGCGCAGAGCCATTAGGCTAAAACACAGCAAGTTGGCACAGTAGAGGCACAGGTAGTTTGTCAGCCAGTCATCTCAGTCAACCCAATGCACTTTCTGGTATTGTCCCCCGACCTCCTGCCAGGCGGGCGTTTGACACTTCACGTGGCATTAAAGTGCACATAGCCTGGCACATGCGCTGTGGTGACATTACCGCCAACTAGTGGCGAATGGCGGTTGTTGTCGGTGATTGTAGCTGTGGTGGTTACAGTTGTGGTGGTTTTGGCAGCAGTTGTGGTTGCAGTCGTTGTGTGGTAATGACTGTGGTGGTTGCGGTAGCGGTTGTGGTGGTTGTGCTTGCTGTGGTTGTGGTTGATGTGGTTGCTGTGGTTGTGGTTGCTGTGGTTGTGCTGCTGTGGTTGTGGTTGCTGTGGTTGTGCTACTGTGCGTCCGCTCCACTGAGTCACGTGTTGCCTCCTCCCCTGCCCTTGTCCCCAGGGAGGCGGGGAGCGAGCCAGGGGGGTACAGCAGCACCAGATGTGAGTGTGCGCGCTCACCACAGCAGCAGCGGGGGGGGGCACACAGAGGATGTGCAACGCTGAGATCAAGGAGAGCCAGAGATGGGGTGGAACATCGCCCATCTCAGATTGACTGACAGCACGGTCTCCGTAGCTACGGCGCGGTGCGCGTGGACACGGACAGCGGTCCCACGCCTCGGCGTCTGCGCTTCCCAACCCGATTTGTTTGCTTCTCAGTTTTTGTTCCATCTTCATGTTCTCACGAGAGTAGCGCCGTCAGGTGGCTGTACACGAGACTGCACGATTGATTTTAAAATCCCTAGCAAATAAATTAAATGAGCGACTCAATAACTTCCTCCTGCTCAGCTCCAGTAACTCACCGGTCCTTTGCAATAGAAATAATGAATTACAGCGCACGCTGATTTAACACACGCGTTTCACTTTGATAGGTAATCGTTAAAATCTTACTTCGTGCACATACACGTAGGCCACAGCTCATCAGTATAAAAAGACCAGGAGCATTACTCATTCATCATGTAATTATTATGTTAACTTAACGTGGATCGTTTTTGTCTCCCATGTGATTGCGGTGTCATCACAGCGGCCTAGGTGCAGGGCTGTGGGGAGAGAAACTCGAGGTCAAGGAGCTGCTGCTCTTCCTTCTCTCCTACGGATTCTACCCTGAGAGCAGCTCGGGACATTCGGTGCTTCCCCTGCACTTCCAGTGACAACGTCACCGAGAAAGCTTCAGGAGCAACCTCACCGAGCATCGCACCTCCAGGAGCAACCTCACTGAGCTCCACACCTTCAGAAGCAACCTCACTGAGCCCCACACCTTCAGAAGCAACCTCACCGAGCTCCACACCTTCAGAAGCAACCTCACCGAGCTCCACACCTTCAGAAGCAACCTCACCGAGCACTGCACCTTCAGAAGCAACCTCACCGAGCTCCACACCTTCAGAAGCAACCTCACTGAGCTCCACACCTTCAGAAGCAACCTCACTGAGCCCCACACCTTCAGAAGCTACCTCACTGAGCTCCACACCTTCAGAAGCAACCTCACCGAGCTCCACACCTTCAGAAGCAACCTCACTGAGCTCCACACCTTCAGAAGCAACCTCACTGAGCTCCACACCTTCAGGAGCAACCTCACTGAGCCAACACCTTCAGAACCAACCTCACCGAGCGCAGCACCTTCAGAAGCAACCTCACCGAGCTCCACACCTCCAGGAGGAGGCTGGAGCTGGGATAAGATCCCGTGGTGGTGATGTCTCTCTGAGTCACCATCCCAGCCACTCGCCTCGGCTGGCAGCTCGCTGTGCCTCCTCCCACTGCGGTTGAATGTTGGTGTTGTTTTAATTTAACTTATTTTCAAAGTTTTGTTATCATTCAGTCTTTAGTTTTAGGCTCGAGTTTAACTATTTTAGTTGTTAACTTTAGGTTAAAGCACCGGCGTATGTTGTATTTATTGTCTTAAAATTTTACATTTTCATATTATTCAGTAAGCGTTCCTCAAATTTTCTAATTTTTATTTAATAAGAAGTCTGAGTTAGAGTGTTGTCATCCTCACATGACAGCACTCATTACTGTTGGTATTACTGAGCCATTGTTGTAAATTCCACAGTAACAGGTCAGGGAGCACTTTCTCAATATCACAAACGCGACTGACTTCCTACAAACCAATTTTACAAACCCCAATGGGAATATAGATTCGTTCAGTTCCTGCCCGATCAGGATTTCAACTTGCGACCTGTCATGGTGAGTTGAGCTCTCAAACCATGATGCCATCGGAGGCCTCCATGTCTGACATCGGAACCATCATCACCACCGGTCCCTTAACCGTGGCACTGTGGGGGCTGCAGTGATGCTTTGGCGTTCAACTCTCTCCACCTCTCGCGATCAACGTCTGCAACTGATCTCCTAATGGTCATGTCACCTCCACGCGAAGTTATTCACCCGAACAATGGGCGGTGCGTGGCAGTCGTTGGAAGCACCGCATCTCTGAAATGATTCCAAGACTCACAGCTATAGAATGTAAATTACTACCGTTCATGCAATGGACAACAGTAATATCTAAATCATTATATGAACAGCATTATGTTTCAAATACTATTACAAGCAAACTGAGGCCGTTGCGGTAACGTGAGCCGGCACAGGAAGCAGCAGGATCTGATCGTAAAATGATATCTCAATTCACCACACGTGGCATCTCGTGGCACAAGGCTCATTGTCTCAGACCATTGCAGTTCTGATTAAATACGTCTCGTTGTCCTGCGATTAACGCGGTTGACCACGTACGGTGCAAAAGAAGTTAAACATACGTACGTAGAGAATGCAGCATTAATTGTCATGAATTTGGAGTTGACTTGAATATCACTGCCACCTAGCGATCCAACATCCCCTCTCAGTTGCCAACCATCGTTCCCTGTGTCCTCTCATCTCGCCCCGGCCTCTCTACTCCTCCCCTCTCTCTCACGAGCAGCCGTTTCCCTCCACAAGCACAAATCGTGAAGATGGTGCGAGTTCGACAGCGACATCCCACGTGTCACCACAGCTGTTACACATTACCCGGCACGTGTCACTTTGAGGACTTTCATATTGGTCAGCCAATGTCAGATTATTAGTTTGTAAAACTTAAGAAAAGTGTGTTTTGAAATGGATATATGAAGTTACATGTTTTCTCGGTGGGGGTGTTAATCCACAGAATAGCACGCGCCGTTCATTGCGTATTAGCAGATGCGTTCATGACGTCTGACCATAAATCATAAAACCGTGAACACTCAGACTGTGGGCTTGCAGAGTCGGTGTTGGGTGCTGCAGTGCATTCTGTGTAGGGTACCCTGTTTTTTCTCCATTAAGGCAAAATGTGCCTATTTATAATTTATGTTATTTATATTGTTTTTAATGTATATACAGTACAACCTTGCATATCTGACCGTCATCTATCCACTTTGCCCAATTAACCACCACACCCAGCGCTGTGCTTGTGCACGGTGTAGCGGTCATCTTCGATTGATGCTCACATATTTGACCTTTACACAAATCTGACCTTTATCCACCTGTAGTTCAGTCTGTAACAAGTCAGATATGTGACGCACTAACAGAAAAGACATCAGTGCGACCACCACAGCTAGGGTGCGCACTGGCAGCGTGACCCCAATCTGGGGGATTTTTCAGTGCAGAGCTTGAGGAGATCAAATCGGTTTAGTGAAACCAATTTGATCAAGTCACCTAAAGCCCACATTACAGCCACTCATTTATGAACATGTTCTAAATTATAACCCACCTCAAATAAGTTAGATTTTTTTGTAAATGTGTAAGTCCATACGGTTGTGTTAGATTAACATTGTCACCTAGCATTAGCTGTACTTTAGTTATAATACGCGTTTAAGTAGAGATAATAAACCTTGCTTAATACGAAATGTTATCTATGCAAGTCTGCGCAGGGTACGCGTCGCTGTACATGGTAGGAATGTCACGATTCATCGATCAACATCGATTCTCGAAAATAATAATATCCAGCTCACAATATTTTTGTACATATTAAATAAAAATGAGCAAATGATACAAGCTGTGTATTTGGTCATGCATGTGCTGAAGGAAGTCTCCACTACAGGGATCTCCAGGGAGCCCCCTAGAGGGCGCCAGGCCTCCTGCTCCACGCATTCTCGCGGCACCAGGAGCCGTTCTCACGCTTGCCGCGTGCTTCACACTCGGCACTTCGAATCTCACGGACGCGGCGATTCCCTCTCCTCCTCATTGCCGCTTTTCTCACGTTGCCACGAGTTGATGTCAGGAACCTCACAGTGGCCTCGATCGCGCATTTCAACTTGAGGAGTCTGCCACAGGTGACATCGTGTGTTGTGGGGCTGCCCGGCACCAACAAGCTGACAAACCATGTGTACATCAATAGAGCTTCCACTCTGTTTGGGGCTGTATAATTGTATCAAAACACCTTGGAGGTGGGGCTTTAACATATTTTGTGAATGTATTTTGTAGACATTTTTTTACCAAAACCTTTCACTCTGGCAAAGTTGGTAAAAGGTGCGTTCACGTTTTGTAGGGATTGCTTCAGGGTTTTTTTTTTTTAAAACAAATGTCTCTTTGGACAGAGAGACATCCCCTTGTCTCTTGCCTTAAATATTGGGAAACCGTGATGTGTATTGCATCTGAGCTGCTCGCTATCCAATGTAATAATGTTGCATTGCTGCAGCTCATCGACAATAACCATGCCCATTCAAACGACCAGTCACAGTCGTCTTGCTCAAACAAGCATTGGGTGGTGCTCTACTCGGTTAATGGACCTGAGCTCGCAATGGAAATTCCACATCCCTATGACAGGGACCAGACTATCTGCTGGTGGCAACGCTGCTTGGGTTATTGTGACATCACCAAATCCGAAGCGGAGGCGGCCTCAGCTTGACCCAAACTGTGAACGGCGCTCCCCTTAACGAAGCCCTCAATTAAAGTGAACAATCACCAATGCGCATCGCACTTCGTGATTTAACAGTTTGCATGGCACAGGATGAGAAAATGTGAGGCGGCGATTTCCAACGATGTTGATAATCAGGATTAATTGTTTCTGCTCTTTACAAAATGTATATTATATATTCATTTAAGCATTTTAAAACTCGTGAAGTAGACAATTTTTCGTAAGGAATGGCTGTGTTGCTATAGTAACGCAGCCTGCATCACGACCTCTTTGTTTATTCGTTGCAATGCTCGTGGTTTGTGTTTGGGGCCACGCCAGGCTGGCGGCGATTGGCTCGAATCGCCACGCGGCCACGTGCCCGCAGACGGCAACGCTGCCGGCTGTGCCCCAGGGTGCGGCGCGCGGAGTTAAATCGGCGGTGCCGCTCGCACAAGCAGACTCCGAGTTGCCCGGTCTCTCGCAGTGTCGCTGCCCCCAGCAGGCACCCTGAAGCTGTGCAGTCTTCCCGTGCCTCAGCTCTGTCCTTTCACACGAACTCTTCTCCAGTAGCTGCTGCGACTTCTGTGGCCGGTGACACAACAATGAGTCACGTCATTCTTATTTATTTCACATTTGCTTTGATCTTGACCGGGCCAAACACAGTCGTGTTGTTTGTTCGGAGGGGTGATCTAGAGACTGGTTGAACGCGCGATGAGTTGAGATTTATTGTAGCGATAAATGCGCTGCTGCATGTTGGCTTCCCATATCTGCTGGTGGTCCACGTGCTGAGGGCAGGGGCTGTGACGCCTCCGCTTGGAGAGTCTCCGCGTTCTTGGCGATGGAGACAGCGGCTTGCTGTCTCACCAGAAAGTGGATGACTCGAATCTGTAAGGTGCGCCTCGCTTTGTGCTTCTCAGATGCCGTGGGGCTCCCTCGAACCCTCGTCGAGAGACCCCCAACAACTGTTGAGTCTCAATGTTGATCTGGGGCCCCTCGACTTCGTTGTCGATGTTGTGTCAGTGTCCACTGGTACTCAAATTACTCCACGTACAGTCCGCGCCATGATAGGTGTTATAGGCAGCGAGGCCACTTTGATCATGATGGCAAAGTGTAGTGTATGGGGCCATCCATAAATGACATGACGCGATTTTTGACGATATTTGACCCCCCCTCCCTCAAATATGACGTCACAAAGCTCTGCCCCCCCCTCCCCCCCAAAACCATATTTCTATTTTGAAAATAAAACATGCTTCAAATCACTTTAAACTATTGTCATTGTAGTGCGTATTAATGTGCACTCTGATGTTGTAGGACTGTTATGACAATTAGTGTTGTTATAGCAATTCTATAGTCATTTAAAGTTCTGCATTTTGATGTGACGTCACATTTCTCAACCCCACTGCCTCGTCACACATCGTCACAAATGTCTGACCCCCCCGCCAGGTGCGTGACGTCATTTATGGACGGCCCCTATGTCGACTGAGGCGCACACACACTGTTGTAGGAGGCAACGCGTTTATTAAACAATTCACTGTACACCGGATTCTGTTGCTAAGTGGGGCTAACTTGTCCTAGGCTGCTCACTATGCACGTGCCTGTTCACTCGTGACCCCCGACACGAGCCCCGAGTCCCACTGACGCCCCCCATGTCTCGTGGCCCCCGCCCCTTGCTGTATAAAGGCCGGCGCTCCCCGCTTCCGGCTACTCTCCCTTGACTCCTCCCATCGAGGCACCGCTTCAGGTCACGTGCCCTTGACTCCTCCAATCGAGGTCCACTTCCGGTCACGTGCCCTCAGCTCGTCCAATCGAGGCCTGCTTTCGGTCACGTGCCCTTAGCTCGTCCAATTGAGGCACCACTTCACGTCACGTGACCTTAGCTCGTCCAATTGAGGCCCGCTCCTGGTCACGTGCCCTTAGCGCGTCCAATCGGGGCACCCGGCGCCCCTCCAGCACTGTAGCTGGCGCGACCCACAGAGACATTTAACTGTCTCCGCTTACAGTTGTGATATATATTTTTGGTTCTTTCGGTAAAGTCACGTAGAAGGGAAACAATAAAATAATAAAAATATAAAACAATAAAATTCTCACGACGTTTCGACTGCAACACAAGCACTCATCATCAGGTGTGAAAACCACACCTGATGATGATTTTTTATATTTATATTATTTTATTGTTTCCCTTCTACGTGACTTTACCGAAAGAACCAAGAATATGAATCCCTGCAGTCATGAAAGCTTTAAAAAAAATTAGTAGTGGCTGTGTTCACGACACTACAAAAGTAACAATATCAACTGTTGTACAGTACTTCTATGGCCCCACGTCTACACCCCCCACCCTCACCCCACCCACACTCACCATGGTGAGGCGTGCTCTAGTACCCCCCACGTCTACACTCCTCACCCTCACCTCACTCACACTCACCAACGTGAGGCGTGCTCTAGTACCCCCACGTCTACACTCCTCACCCCACTCCCACTCACTAAGGTGAGGCGTGCTCTAGTACCCCCCACGTCTACACTCCTCACCCCACCCACACTCACCAAAGTGAGGCGTGCTCTAGTACCCCCACGTCTACACTCCTCACCCCACCCACACCAAGGTGAGGCGTGCTCTCGAACCCGGCCCTTGTAAGGACATCGGCTCTGAGGCTCTGGGGTCACAATTCTGGCTTGATCTGCCGGCCCTGAGAAGGACTGCGGGTCAGAGGAGTTCCAGGGTCTATCTAGCCGGTCTTCAGTCTTCAACTGGGTCTTCGGACTTCGGCTCGTGAACACTGCCCCTATCTCTCTGGCTCCCCGTCTTTTATACCAATTCCCCACCGAGGAGCGGGGTTCTGAGGGATCATAGCACACCCCGCAGCCCCCACCCGTTGGGAGGGCACGCGGGGGACCCAAAGCCCACAGCCCCCTGCGGGTAAGCCAAGGGTGCTAGCTGTAACCGATGTGTGTTTGTCCAGTAACACCACTACACATGGACAGCCACTTTGCCAATCCATGACTCGATAAGGGCCTCCATATGCCGGTGCGGGTTGTGGGGGTTAGTTGACTCTGCCTAGCAGCATGTTAATGTTATAACCTTTCCCATAGTCATAACCCTAGCCCTGATCCCTAAGCCTCGTTATAACCCTCCATGTCATCTTAGCCTCATCTATAATAGGCTTAATGGTATAATCACAATCCTGGCCTTAATCAAAATGCTAAACAATGTCCCGTTGTGACTCATCGCCAATGTTGATTCACAGAAAGAGCCTCCAGATTGAGCAGCATCACTTACTCACGGTGCCACTTCTCTACATTGTCAATCAAATGCGTCGGAGCATAAGGAAGTTCACACGCGGTGCTACTGCAGGGGTAATGGCACCGCTAGGAGACGGTGCCGCAGTCCTGGCAGCTGTGTGAGCTGGGGGCCGCTCCCTCGCGCTGGGGCTGCTGCTGGTGCTGGGTGAGGACAGGGGTCAAGCAGCGTGACCCTAACCTGGCGGATATTTCAGTGCAGAGCTCGAGGAGAACAAACTGGTATAGCGAGAGCGATTTGATCAACAGTCACCTAAAGCCCACATTACAGCATCTCATTTATGAACATGTTCTAAATTATAACCCACCTCACGTTAGATTGTTTTGTAAATGTGTAAGTCCATTTGGTTTGGTTAGATTAACATTATATCAGGTAGCATTAGCTGTACTTTAGTTATAATACGCGTTTAAGTAGAGATGATAAACCTTGATTTATACGAAATGTTATCTATGCAAGTCCCTGTTGCGGGTACGCATCGCTGTACACGGTAGGAATGTCACGATTCATTGATCAACATCGATTCTTGAAAATAATAATATCCAGGTCACAATATTTTTGTGCACGTTAAATAAAACTGAGCAAATGATCCAAGCTGTGTATTTGGTCATGCGTGTGCTGGTGGGGAAGAGCCTCCACTGGAGGGATCTCCAGAGAGCCCCCTAGAGGGCGCCAGGCCTCCTGCTCCACGCGTCTCGCAGTCGGCTCGCACACTCGCTGCACCAGGAGCCGTTCTCACGCTCGCCGCGTGCTTCACACTCGGCACTACGAATCTCACGGACGCGGCGATTCCCTCTCCTCCTCATTGCCACTTTTTTCACGCTGCCACGAGTTGATGTCAGGAACCCCACAGTGGCCTCGATCGCGCATTCCAACTTGAGGGGTCTGCCACAGGTGACATCATCGTGTGTTGTGGGCCTGCCCGGCACCAACAAGCTGACAAACCATGTGTACATCAATAGAGCTTCCACTCTGGTTGGGGCTGTATAATTGTATCAAAACACCTTGGAGGTGGGGCTTTCATATATTTTGTGAATGTATTTTGTCAACAATTTTTTACCAAAACCTTTCACTCTGGCAAAGTTGGTAAAAGGTGCGTTCACATTTTGTAGGGATTGCTTCAGGGTTTTGTAATTTAAAAAAAAAACAAATGTCGTCTCTTTGGACAGAGAGACATCCCCTTGTTTCTTGCCTTAAACATTGGGAAACCGTGATGTGTATTGCATCTGAGCTGCTCGCTATCCAATATAATAATGTTGCATTGCTGCAGCTCATTGACAATAACCATGCCCATTCAAACGACCAGTCACAGTCGTCTTGCTCAAACAAGCATTGGGTGGTGCTCTACTCGGTTAATGGACCTGAGCTATGTTGTATATATAAGTGTTATGAAAATTGATGAAAATAATGAAAATTAAATGAAATTTGAAATTCGCATAATTT